AAGTGAATGATGGGGACTACAGAGAGTTATCCACCCAAGACTGATGACACTGCATAGGGCTGTCCACCCGGACGGCAGCTCTGTCTTCATGGGAGAAGGAATACTGTCCTTGTGGGTTGTAGGAGCTCACTTTTCTTAAACAGTATGTCCTCACATGCAAATCTTGTGAGGATTAATATGATGGCATGCAAAGAGCACTTTTTGATACATCCCTGGATATGTCAACAGAACTTCAATAAGTAGCCATTTCTGTTATTACCATGGATTCGAAACAGCAGGTCCTTGAGCAACTTAGAGAGAACGTAAGGTGGGGAACTTTACAAGGCACAGTCACTCTTGAGGTTGTTGAGAAATATCAGAATTAAGAAGACAAGACCTAAAAAATGCACACGTGCCCACGCGGCGCAGGTGAGAGGAAGGTGAGCTCAGCCTGTCTCTCTCGGGGAGACTGAATCTCATGATGGGACGCGGGATGCTCGAAGGCAAGGGAAGTTGGTAGTTTTAGCCTTTGCGTTCAGTTCAGCTTCCAAAAGCCCACTGAGCGACCAGAGATCTACTGAAATCAGCAAAACCTCGGCTGCTGCATTTAGGGATGAGTAATAGTCAACAGAGCAGAACTGATGAAGAATTTCTGATGATATAAACCAAATGGAATCACACTGTATGAACCCACAATTCACTGTAGGACAAGGGAGGCTCCCTTTGGAAAACAGGTAAGGAAACAGAAGGGAGGAAACCTGGGCACAGAGCAGGGCCCAGGTTGAGACTGGACAGGACATTATAGCCATGCTCAGAGACCCAGACTCCACTCTGAGGCAAATCCTCAAATGAGCTGGTTAAAACTTTACATTTTGGTTGAGAAGGACCCAGGTTCAAGTCCTGACTGCCACCCACAAGCTGTGTGACCTTGTGTAAGTCACTCGTTCACTGACTCTCGGTTTCACTGTCCCCATCTGCAAAAACAGAATGGCAGGACCTACCCATAGAGGGTATGCAGACTCACCAACACACTTCCCTGTGCTAGACACTGCTCTGGGCATGGGGAGAACAGGCGTGGCCAGACAGGCATGCTCCCTGCCTCCGCAGACCTTGCGTTCTGGTGAAAGCGAGAGGCAATTAACACATAGATGTAAAGCATGTGAAGGTGCCTCTGGTGGGGAGTGCCTCAGAGGGTGGCATGTTTTATGCAGGGTTTCAGAAGCTTCCGCACTGCGGTGTGCTTAGACAGAGACCAGAGGGGGCGGGTGATAAGCCACAGGCATACGCTGGGAAGGAAGGTCCAGGCAGAGTGGACAGCTGGTGCACAGGCCTGTGCAGACCTTCTGTATGTTTAAAGACTACCGGGGAGGCCAGTATGGCCAGAGGGGAACGAGAAAGGGGGGAGGCTGTAAAAATGATGTCCAAGAGGCAATGGGGTCTAGACCACAGAGGGCTGTGCTGTCCAACACGGCAGTCACCACCTGCACCGGGCTCTTAAGGGCTTGAAATGTAGTTCTGACACGAGATGTGCAGTAGGTGTAACTTACACACTGGATTTTGAAGATTTAGTAAAACAAAAGCATGTAAAATATTTCATTAATAATTTTTCATATTGATTATATGCTTAAATGATAATATTTTAAACCGTATTATTAAAACTGGTTTCATCTGCTTCTTTTCAAGTCCTTACTCTGGCTACTAGAAAATGTTATTTGCATGTGTGGCCTGCATGATGTGGGGTTCCAGGTCACAGTAGGAGTTGGGCATTTACGTTGAGCAATATGGGAAGTAAACAGTTTTTAGCATATTTCCCAGAACACTGTGGGGGCAGTTTATAAAACTAGATTTCCATTCACAGACAAATTGCTCAGATGTGAAAGCAAATAAAGGTATTTGAAGGGAAGACACTGAGCTTACAAAAGAGTGATAACACTAGGAAAAGCTAAGTTTAAATAATTGTTTACAGCGTACTGATAAGATAAATTCAACTAGCAAGTAATGATTATTGAAATATAAAACAAAGTATAAAAATAATCTGATAAACAGATACAACTGAATCCGCTCTTAAATTCCAAACGGATCAGAGAAAAACAGGCATAAAAAAACCCATACAAGTATTTCATTTCAGCCATCCTGGTAGATGTGAACTGGTTTTATGCTTTTCACTTGCATTTCCATGGCGCCAATGAGGTTAAATGATTTTCATGAGCTTACTGGCTATTTGTGCATCTTCTTTCATGAAGTGTATGTTTAAGGCTTCCTCCCATTTTTATTGTAATGTTGTCATTTCTCATCGATTCGTAGGTGTGCACATGTTCTAGATAGTCCTTCGCCAGATACACGCGTGACAGACATGTCTGCCCAACCTTCGGCCTGCCTTTTCATTCTTGTGTTCATAGCTTTAATCAGAATAGACTTTCTAACTTTCAACATAATCCAAATTTTTCAATCTTTTCTTTTATGGCTGGTACTGTAGGTGCTGTGTTTAAGTAACCTTTGCCTACCCTGACATTCGGGAGATAGGTTATCTTTAGGAAGCTTTATTTTCCCCTTTTACTTCGGTCTGTGCTCCTTCTCTAATCTTGTGTGTGGTGTGAGGCAGGGGTTCTGGATCTTCATGTTTCAGGTGGACCAAAAGGCCTATTACCATACACTCAAAATATAAGCCCTTCCTCGCTACATGTGATGCCACTTTTGTAATAAATCAAGTGACGGTGTATATGTAGATCGGTTTGGAGTTCTTGATTCTGTTCCTTTGGTCTATTTGTCTTTGTGCTATTGCCGTACTAAATTAATTGCTGTGGCTTTAATGTAAATCTTTGGAGTTAGTATATAAATTCCCCACTTTGTCTTTTCCTTCAAGAATAGCCTGCCCTTCACAGTACACACACATTTTAGAATAGCTTTGCCAGCTTCTCTTCCTCTCTCTCTCTTGCACAACTGATGAACAACACTGGCACCAAAATAAGCAACAATACGATTGGAAACTAAAACAATTAAATATCCATGCATCCATACTGATATAGAGAAATCAGTGAATAAATAAATGAGAGAAGGGGTCCACCTTCCACCTCTTCCTTACAAAAGAATTTCAAATAGTAAATGCAGACAGATTGAGGCAAACAGAAAATCACCATTAACACACCATAGCAACATCCACTGATAAATGCTGAAAAGAGTGGGCAGAGTTCAAGGAAAACAGAATGTCTGCATAGCTTTGATGGCTCTCTCCCCCAATTTATTTTAAATGTTTATTGATTGATTGATTTTTAGAGAGAGAGTAAAGGACAGAGAGAGAGAGATATAGATCTCCTGCTCCACTTATGCATCATTGGTTGCTTCTTGTATGGGTCCTGACCAGGGATCAAACCCGCAAACTTGGTGCATTGGGATGACCTTATAGCCAACTGAGCTACCCAGCCAGGGCAAGATATTTATTAATTACTGTGGTGGTTTTGACAAGTCTACAAATTCTTTGCTGCTGCTCCCTTCAGGAGGTGGAGCTTAACTCTCCTCCCTCGAGTGTGAACTGGTCTGTGACTGGCTTCTAATGAGTAGCCCATGGAAGGGGAAAGATCAGCCTCATACTGAAGAGGCTGCAGAGACCACCTCACGCAAGCGATGGAGATTCACACCACCGTTAATGGGATGCACTGACATCGCGTGCCTCCTCCACGCTGCAACGACGGGGGGGATCGCCTCTGTGAGGCTCTTCCCCCAGGCCGACAACCCCATCCCAATCACCCGAAAAACTCAGAGAAGCCCAAATCAAGGGACATTCTAACAAATAACTGGCCACTGCTCTTCAAAACTCTCAAGCCACTAAAGAAAAGGACAGGTCAGGGTCTGTCGCAGACTGAAAGAGACTAGGAGACATGACAGCTCAATGCAGGGTGCTCTCCTGGACCGGATCCTGGGGTGGGAGGGAGGGAGAGCTGAAAA